TAAGTTATAAACAAACAAATAAATAAGAACGGGAAAGGTTAGGCCGTCCTCACAACAATATTTAATTAAATAAACCAAGGTGACTCTTAACAATTTGTTTATTTCAGTGGTTATTAAATGTTTCGATCCTCACAGGACCATCATCAGATAGTTCTATAAATACGTCTGTAGTTAACTCGTATATATGCCATAAAGTTAAAATTAACGTATATTAAAATTTTACCATTAAAAGCTGTGTTTTGTAACACTACGAAACTTGTTTTGTTACGTAGAACATGTCCACGTTGAACAGTATGACGCCCGAGGGTGCGCTATTATATATAAATTCGAGTATATATAAAGATTAGTTCCGTATTCCTAGTTCTTCCGTATGACTTCTAGGTTGTCACCGCGTATGCATTATTACTAAGCAGTGTCGTGTGTCTTCACTATGTGGGCATTTTTTGTTTCGTCTGTTCAAGTACCCTGTGGACAAAGTGAAGTCCCAGAGGAACATATCGCCTCCATCTTCAGGGTCGGAGATCGCAGGTTGCTACCAGCTGCACCTTATCTTCAGCTTCGCTTATTCTACTCTGAAGATGGAGACCAAATGTTCCTTTGAAACTTCGGTTGACTTTCAACGGACTACACTGCTTTATATTCCAGAAGGCAAGCCTTATAATCAGGACAGCGCCATAGCTCAAGCGATTAGTCGCTGGATTCCACCGCGGCGACCCAGGTTCAAACCCAGGTCTGGTCAAGTGGGATTTGTGGTGGACAAAGTGGCGCTGGGGCAGGTTTTTTTTTCTCCCAGTATTTCAGTTTCCCCTGCCAACCTTCATTCCACCAAATTGCTCCATCATCATAATCACCCGGGGCAGGTACAATAGGCCAATCAGTGGCAGCCGTGCTGAGTGGACCCAACTGGACTCCACCCCCTACTATGTGAAATTTTTAAAAAGCCTCATAATCACCGATGTGAAAACCTCAGATCATAGAAGAATAATCTACTGTGTAGGCCTGTAAGATATTTTGCATATGCATATTGGAAAAAGCAACAAAAACCTTAGGGGATACAAACTGCTGTACAGAAGAAGAGATGAGAAGACAGAGAACGGTATTTTTAATGGAGAATAAGGGCCGGTTAGGAACATTAAACAAGTGAGATAAAGATTATATTATTTTTCACAAAAAAAGGACGACACAGTTTAAGTGACTGTCGAGACTTGGTGCTCTGTGCTACAGCTGATATCAGGGCTGCCCCTAGGAAACGCGTCATGATTGAGTAGCTGCCTCACTCACTCCTTTACCTCCTTTACCCTGCGTTTAAGCTATTACAGACATCCACTACCGAGTCTCGTCTCATGCATCACTCACGTCACTTTCGATCTTGGCGACCTTCGTTCTTTTTTTTTTCTATTCATGAGTTGTTCTATTAGTCTTGAAAACCAGCTTTGGCCCATAGAAGGCATTTTATTCGCCAGCTAAATAATTCCACCACCTTGCATTGATATTTATTTGTTCTTTTTTTCTTCTTTAAAGATAAAGCGAAATTGCTAAAACAGACATTCTTTTTTTTTTGTATCGTGTGTTGCAATGACGTTATTTTAAGTGAATCATTTATTGTTCAGAAAAAAGAAAGGCTATCAAATTGTCACTTTACGTGTTCCTTCTATGCTTACATCCATTTGACTATAAGCTTAATAAGAGGGCGGATTCTCGCGCGTTCTGTACTCATAGCACTGCGTCAGTTTTAAATTTATATTAGCGAGTTACTTCTAGCAGATCTACGTAAATATGTATAAAATGTTGCTTTTATGATTTCGGTGAAAGAATATTAAGTTTTCTACTAAATTTGGATAAGAATTTCAGAAAATAATTTATTTTATTCCTTTAATTTATTTTTTAAGTTGTTTTTATCTTTCGCTATATTTTCATCGATCTAGTCTCTCTCTCTCTCACCTTCTTTCTTTTTTATTTCTTTCTCTTTTCATTTCCTCTCCTCTTCATCTTCCTGCTCACTTGTGTAGAATAATATGTACATGGTGATTCTGGCTATATGGCCACAAAATTGAATCCAAAAATTATGTAAAACCAAAAGAACAAACTCCGTGGCCTGTTGTCCTCAAGTGAACTGAGGAATAGCTCTACTGTTTTAACCTCGGCAACAAATGGAGGCGAGTGATCAGTTTCGCGCCCCTGTCGCTTTATCTCAGATAATCATTGTGTAGGAGGCTGGGTGGACTCCAGGCCTGTGTATACTTTACGGAGAAATTTTTTTGCATCTACTGAGACTCGAACGACGATTCCTCGGTCGTCTAGCCGCTACCCTTGTGGCTATACTAACTGAAGTCTTCATGCCCTATTTCACTTAATAACACTGCCGAAAACATTCTGAATTGTAATTACAAAGTAAGCTGGCGCACCCATAAACGTAAAGCTTTAAATTGTATTTGAGAGGTTTAAATTAAACTTGGCATGTACTGTCTTCGCTCGTTTGGAAACCGGGATCGTGGGTTCGAATCCCACTCAAGGCATGGATGTTTAGTTTGTGTGTGTGCGTTTTTCTGTGTTTGTGTATAGGTAGAGGCCTTGCGACGAGCTGATCACCCGCCCAAGGAGTCCTACCGAATGTGTAAGATCTAGAAAAACCGAAGTGAACGGAGAAGNAGGACTCCTTGGGCGGGTGATCAGCTCGTCGCAAGGTCTCTACCTATACACAAACATAGAAAAACGCACACACACAAACTAAACATCCATGCCCTGAGTGGGATTCGAACCCATGATTCCGGTTTCCAAGCGAGCGAAGACAGTACATGCCTTAGATCGCTCGGCTACCGTGACCGGCTTCCAGCTATTTACTTGATTTATTATCGTCCATCCAACAACATTGAACCTCCGCTATCGAAAGAAAAGACGATAGGCCTAAACAAACTGCAAACAAACAAACCAACTGACTTTCACTCTCACATCTGAAGGAAATAAGAAACAGTAAATGCTACAAAACGGGTAACCGTCTTTTTACACTGAACATAATTAGAAAATATTTATTACAGTGGATTCACCATTCTTCGTGCAGTTTTTGCTCCCATTTGAAGTTAAGTTCATGACAAAGGCAAGTTTAACTTCTGTCTTTCTGTTTACAGCAAATACCTGCACACATGTAGAAGATCTAAATGTTGTGTTACGTGTCTCAACATACACGTTAGTAAGAAAGTTGTTCCAGTAATTATCCACAGTACGAGAAACAATGTAGGCCTATTCGAAATCTACAGACTGCATGGTACAAGATATGCCTTCAAAAGTTGATACTTAGCTGATCAAGATCTTGGTCTTAGGAATCCAAAGATACCTCACTGTTCTCAAAAAAAAAGTTCGTCGTTTCTCTGTCTTGAGCCATTTGAATCTAATAACATTTTCGTGTATTTCTGTTAGATAAATATTAACGTCTCTATTATTCGTTCAACTACACACAAGTCCTTATTCACAAGCTCATACTCGGCTATTTACTCAAAATTTCCCCGTGTATTAAGAGACGTGGAGGTTCATTACCGTATTCATGGCTCAGGGTTGTATAGGGAAGTACTCGGTTCGGATATCTGCCGGAGTAAAGCATAATCTGACTGAAGATTTTCTCAGTCTGTTGACGAATGTCAGACTAGAGCATCAAGTAGGCCGCTCCCACCTCCTTCCAAATCCGTATCTCATCACTACTCATGACTATTTTACAAAGAATATTCAGAATTGTGTAAAATCTAATTTATGCAGCTGAAACTGCATCAGTAATAATCTTAGGCATCAATCTGTTATCAATTTTCCTTTGATGAGGAGACAAATACACGGCTAGTCTTGCGTCTAGGTCATAAACGATAACGCGTATTTCATAACCGACTAACTTCATAGAGCTGAACCCTTCTTGAGAAGCAGCCAGTTGTGCAGCTACTCAAGAATTTCTCAGCGGTTTATGGAAGCCGAAACTTTATTACCGTGTTCATAAGAGCCCTCCACTGGTCCCATTCCTGAGCCAGATAGATCTAGTCCATACCACCCCATTCTATCTCTCTATCATCCACTTTAATATTATCAACCCACCTACGTGTTGGTCTTCTTAGTTGTCTCTTTCCTTCTGGTTTACCCACCAATATCCTATATGCATTCATCATCTCCCCAATCGTGCTACATGCACCGCCCTTCTCATCCTCCTTGACTTGATCACTCTAATTATATCTGTCAAAGAGTACAAGTTATGAAGCTCCTCATTGTGCAGTTTTCTCCAACCTCCTGTCATTTCATCTCTCTTCGGTCCAAATATTCACCTCAGCACCCTGTTCTCAAACACCCTCAGTTTCATAAAGAAATGCAATTTGGCATTCCTTCTTTTGTGTTTTACTTTACGAAGTTTTCGGTATTTAGACTTCATAGCGTCGGATGGTAGCATGATATATGAATTGGGATGGGTTTTGTCATGGATGGTAGTGGTATAATCGAGATACTTTCTCGAGATACGTCTGGAGGGACTGTGGATAACCATGAAAAACCTCAGTCAGGATAACCGGTGTTTCGGCCGAGATTCGAATAGAGCACCTCCTGAATTTGAGTCAAGAGTATTACCACTATGCCAGCTCATTCCTAACATTCTACCCGGCAACTGCATTTTCCTGTAGATTTACACCGGAACATTTGATTCTGTTGCAGCCTAGGTAAAGGATCTGCTGTGAGTTCAGAAGAAGTTAATATCTGTCTCTCTATGGCTCTACAGCCTTTGGTTGGACCTTGGCCGCTTTTTTTTCAGTTTCTTGATCTTTTTTACACAGTCGGTAGGACTCCTTGGACGAGGGATCAGCCCGTCTCAAAACCGCTACCTACACACAGAATAAAAGCATACGGACATCCATCCATTGAGTGGGATTCGAACTAACGATCCCAGTATTTGAGCGCGTGACGACAGTTCATGGCGGCCACTGTGATAGGCAGAAGTCAACATACATCTGTTAATTTAATTCATGGGAATGAAGCCTTACCTCGTGAAAACATCGGGGTAGTGTGTACGAGCAAACGCCTTCTCCAATTCCTCTAATTGGAAACTGGTGAAAGTAGTGCGGTAGCGCCTTTGTTTCCTCTTGGGCGCGAAGTCATCCAGTTCTCCCTCACTGTTATTTTCCGAAGCATTACTGCTTCCGACTGGATCGAGGGCAGAGCCGGACCCCGTACTTCCGGGCTCCATAATTAGAGCTGTTTTACCACCCGGACCATTTTCATCCCCACACTCCCCCATCAGCACTGACGGAGGTGAATCAACTGCCGACAGTTCCTCTTCTCCCTTTTCAGTTTCTTCGGACACACCCATTACAATTGCCGTACCAGAACTCGAACTACAGACGCGGCCAATACCGTTACTCAGAGAGTCTTGAGGTTGCACTGATACACTAGTTGCGAAGTCTTGTTCTTGAACTGCTGGTGCAGGTGAAGAGTCACTCGATTCAACTCCGGTGATATTGGAAGAGAAGTCTGCAAAGATAACAGAAGAGCTGGTTACTGTTAACTGCTTGAACAAGCGATATGAATGAATTGTTGGCAGGAAGGACTTTCCCTACATGAAACTTAATGGGAACGGATGCAATTAACACAGCAGGCCTTTTATAATGAAAAAGGCAATAGGTACATAATGACCGAATTTTGGTGAAGATTAAGGTTAACTTTGAAGACACGCCATAGCTCAAGCGGTTAGTCGCTGGTTTCCCACCGCGGCGGCCAGGGTTCGATTCCGAGTCTGGTCAAGTGGGATTTATGGTGGTCAAAGTGGCGCTGGGGCAGGTTTTCTCCGATTACTTTGTTTTCCCCTGCCAATCTTCATTCCACCAATTGCTCCACAATCACCCACGCATATCATCTGTGGCTGGTACAATAGGCCAGAAGTGGCCGCAGTACAAGGTACATAGTCCCACCCCACTAGCAATAAAAAAAAAGGTCAACTCTTTAATTTTGTACATAAATAATATTGCATTGACGAAATTTGTTCTGTTCACACATGGTACAGAATCCGATTAGTAATATTGGTGGGCGTCTTGGTTGCTTTGTCATTGAGACCAATGATTTGGGATCAATAACGAGAAAAATTATTTGAAAAGTGACAAATTCCGGATCATTTAATTCTCAGGTTATTTAATGGAGTGCCAATCTTTGTGGATAGAGGGTGTCACGTGATCAGCGCAACGAATCCCTACGTCCGTTAATTTCGGTTTTCTAGACCGGAGCCGCTATTTCCTTGAAATAGCTCCTTAATTATCCTCACGAGGCTGAGTGGACCCGTTCCAGACCTACTACTACTACTCAGAAAGTTGGCACTAACTTCATCGACAAGCGGCGGTCACTCGGTCGGTATAGTTCGTTTGTGGACTCAAGTCACAGAGTTTTGGTTTTTTGTTTTTATTTAATGGAGTTAATTCTAAAGCAAAGGTTATATGGGCTTAAACAGGATAGGAAGGCGATGAGTAAGGGTTCCGAAATAAGCAGTTATCTATTTCGAAAAACTATTCTGGCATTTACTGGAGTAACGGATAAAAAACTATGAAGACCACCAAGAGCACCAGTTGTAATAGTAGATGAAAATAGCAGAAATTTCAGTCGGATTTATCACGATGCCGCTACACCAGTCAGGTTGGCGACAAACACTGGACCGGACTGAATTTATATATTGCTGAAGACAAAAATATAATGATTAATCTATGATTTGAGATCAGCTGATATGGAGGGTAGCTGCGAATATATTGAATAAGCAGTCGTGGACAGCCGACAATTGGTGGTCCTCCAGCTTGGGGGGGGGGGCTAACAACTCCTCACCTTAAAAAAATATGCTTGTTACGAAAATGTTCAAAAAGCCTCGGAACTGGACGGATTCTGTGGGAAAGCCGGAAGGAAGGAGACCACTGGGAAGACCCAAGGCGTAAGTGGGTGGACAATACTAAAATGGGTCTCAGAGCGATAGGATGGGATGGTATGGGTTAGATTGATCTGGCTCAGGATAGGGAACGCTGTAGGGCTCTTGTGAAAACAGTAATGAACCTTCGGGTTCCATAAAATACTGGGATATTCTTGAGTTCTGAGTGAGATCAGCTGAATTGAGAGGCCCAACAGAATGTTTTCTTCCAAACCATGTTTACCTGAACACCCTGGTTTGTGGGCCCCAGCAGATTAGTTTTCCTTTTCGTATTATATTTACCTGAAAACGGAAATATGGCCAATTTCCGGAGATGAACTCGGAACAATGGACAGAATGCAATCTAAGAGTTCTAAACGAAAATGTACTCTTCAACCAGAATATTTTATTGCTGCTTATCGACAACAAGAGCACAACTAAATCTCGTTTACATGAGGAGAACAAAGAAGATGGAAAGACCTTGACATGAAAGAAAAAGCGGACCTCTGTACAGAGTAACTGAGTAGCCTTGTACTGCACGTAAGCCTAACTTGATTTCGTCCATTAGAGAGAAGTTAGCGGGCAGACTCGTCTTAATGGAAAGTTTATCTAACAAGTGAGTGTTGATAACAGTGTGAGCATTAGGAGCATAGCATGGGCCATTTCCAGCTGCGCTTGCTGACACGAGAAGGGAGACGACGTTATAAGCTGTCTTTCTCTGACTTCAATGCCAGCTTAAAATGTAAGCTTGTTAATTCTTCTTCCAGTTGAAGCATTATAACGAGTAAAAAACAAAAACAACAACAAAAAAGGCTCAAAGTTTATTTTGCAATTCAGAGATTGCATTCTGAACTCACATATCACCGTACACCGGAGAATTTGTTGAATTTGCAATTCTCACTCACTGAAGTTTATTATATTCTAGAATGTGATGCCGTATAGTCAGGTAGAAGTTCGTCAATTTCGGAGGAATGTAATGCCTCTATCTTCAGGGTCGATGAGTAAGCCAAGCAAGAAAACAGCCACCTGCTTCATGCTGGTTTCTTGGTTGGCTTATTTACGGACCATGAAAATGGAAGCACTACGTTCCCCTTTAAGTTCGTGAAGTTCTTCCCATCTACATGGCGTTACATTCTAAAAAACGACACACTTAAAGCAATTTTTAGCCTACTTTACTTATTTTGAAAAAAATAAAAGTAAGCTTATGAGATCACCTTGTTCTCTGTTTGTCCTCCCCTAATAACTGGCTGTATGCCTGCAGGCTACTCGGTACGAGCAGCCTTAAGGAGGGAGCAATGTGACATGATGCCACAAAGCCGGAATAATAGAGCGAGAAGAGACTGCATTTGCTAGGCAACGGCTAGGTAAACACATTCCCGCGGCAAAGAAATATATATGTATAGTGTACTAAAAGAAAAGTAGGGATACGTAAGACAGGCATGATCTGCTTTGCAAAGCCTATATTGGCAAAGGACTTGTGTATACTGTGAAAGAAAGAATGTTCAGTAGCATGCTATAAGTGCGATATTTACACTTGAAAGGCCAAGAATATTCATAAGGGGTAAATCCATCTCTTCGTCAGAGAGAATGTTACATAAGGATTATTACCGCAAGGATAAAAAAAAAAGTAAAGCTATCCCTGTACCAGGCCGTGAAAGCCCATAGGGTTGTGAGACGCTGAGGGTCCCACACTATCTAGACAATCGGCTCCAAGATGGCGGTAAGGTTGTCAGCCTTACGCGTCGGCCGCGCTTTACTTCCCTGGAAAATTATTTAATTAATTCCTGGTACTCATTTCTGTTAGAGGCTGAGTAAACCCCAGGGCCTAGTGCGGCTGGAAGGATTAGGTCAACTGAAAAGAATCCAATGACCTTATTAGGGCTTGAACCCGCGACCTTCCGGCTTTAGCATAGCCCCTCAACCAAAGGATTCAGTTGAAAAAGAAATCTGGTCGTAGATCTGAAAGGACTTGACGCCAAGATGAAGTGTTTGGCGGTAAACCGCCAGTCATGAAATAACTTTGACTTTGAAACCAAAGTAGGCGATTAGGTGTTACTGAACTTCTGTTTCTATTCTTTCAGTACAGATTATTTAAGACAAATTATTCGTGAATGATCAGTTGGAAAGAATGTATTTTGAAGAGACTGTGATATCATTTGAGGTACTGCTCCTGCGTTATACTGGACAGAATTAGAAAATCTGGCAGTATAGTTGGGTTAAATATAAAAAGGCAAAGTTGTCCCTCCGTTAAATTAATTGAGCACCATACCATGATGACATACATGAGAGCGGAGGAATAGTTCAACCATTTTTGTCCTCGGAACTAGACAGAGGTGAGTGATCAGCTTCACGTCCAGTCCGCTTTATCTTAGGGGAAACAGATCCCTGTATTCATTGTGTAGGAGGCTGGGTGGATTCCAGAGTCGGACTGGACGCTGTGGAGAAGAGAAAAATATTGCTTCTGTCGGGAATCAAACCACATCCGTCCAGCCCTAAGCAGAATAGTTGGATATCGGTTAATTCCAACCGGTCAACTCCCAGACACAAACGCAAAGCATCGCGGCTAAAGTAAAATTGCTCGGTGATTCCATCACCCTAAAGATGTAAAAATAATATTGGAATATATGGCAGTAAAAACAGATGGCGCTGAGAAACCCCTGATCAGTGTTTCGTAGCCTGTGAATGTGTAATCTTATGATCTTGAATACTTTTGTATACATCTATGTGCTTGCCAGAAGACAAGTACTCTCACCGGTGGCATAGGTGGTTCAAGAGACCTAGAATATAATTTACTATTACCATAATCATCATCATCATTATCATTATCAAATTGTCAAGGATCTGGAAGGTTTGTTGACCCGTTCCAAGACTCAGTATTTTAATAGTCTCTTCAAAGGTCGTTCTCAGTTTCCTGTTCCAGCCTATCATTAATTTGGCGACTCTGTCTCTCTGACGGCTGTGTCTCAGTATTATCCGGAGGCTTACAGGTAGCAGTCACAAGTCGACACGCCAATAACCTATTATGGAAAAGTCAGCACTGCTTTCTATCCACAAAAGAGGAGATAGCTAGAGATGGCACAACAGTCGTCAACAAGGGCTTACCTAGAATAAGAAATGACGAAATTCTATCTTTGTGACAGTGTCTAGGTTAGCAGTTCTAAATCGAGGCTACGTAAAACATTCTAGCCCGTCACGGTAGGGTCGCGGTTTAAGGCATGCAATGTCTTCATTCGCTCGGAAGCAGGGATCGTGGATTCGAATCCCATTCGGGGCATGGATGTTTAGCGTTTGTGTTTATTTTCCTGTGATTGTGTACAGGTAGAGGCCTAGCGACGAGCTGATCACCCGCACAAAGAGTCATACCGAATGTCTAAGATCTAGTAAACGGAAGTGGAACGGAGAGTTTCATGGAGGCAAGCCAAAGCCCAAATTGGGGCTGTAGCGCCAAAGGATAAAACCCCCTAAGGGGTCTTAAATTTAAATTTATCCCTCTAATTATGCAACTAAGCACTGCATCTTGAAGATATATAGGTGAGCGGACCGATATCATCACCATTGAAGATCTTGACACTAGACAGAGGTGAGTAGTTAG